TAAATATTTGGTGTTCGTTTTTCCGAATCACCCGCGAACTATCATACTTCCTTAATATTCTTACGCGTCGATACTCGTACGTCCGTGTTTCTGATTTTGAGCCACCATTTTGATTGCTCTCGTCGCTTTTTTATCGGTCCGCTATTACGCGGCCTCGACGCGTCCTCGTATCGAAACGTTGTTTGGTACGTTAGCGTTTCGACACGTGTTATCGGAGTCAGCGTCCTTGCCGAATTGCACATCAGTTGCAATTGGCGTAGGCGCGTATTATTTCTTATTATTTTAATTACATATTTTAATTACTTAATAATTCTCGGATTAGTTAGAATCCTTGAGATTCTGGTTAATCAGCAATGTTATGAGGTCGGATTGCATTATTTAGGTTGCCTCGCAACAGAGCAAAGACTGCTTTCTCTGTAGATAATGAGCTCTGGCATTTATTGCAATGCCCTTTGGTTTATGCAATGCTCCTGCTACTTTCGAGTGTCTTATGGAGCGAGTTCTTTGGCAATTACTTTCTAAAATTTGCCTGGTTTATTTAGATGATATAATCGTATTTGGTAAAATTTTTGAGAAGATGAAAAAAAAATTTGAAAGAGGTTCTTCGTAGATTTCGTGCTGCCAATCTTAGTGTTAACTCAAAGAAGTGTAGTTTATTTGGTAGACAGGTGAAATATCTGGGACATATTGTTTCTTCAGTAGGGATCTCAACGGATCCCGAGAAAACTGAAGCAGTTACATTCCGTAACTGGCTGGTATCTCAGAATAAAAAGCTGAGCCGGAATTTTTTTGGCTTCTGCTCTTATTATCGGAAATTTGTGAAAGGTTTTTTTTCTATTGCAAGATCTTTGTTTAAATTAACAGAGAGTCAGATTAAGTATATCTGGATTAAGCAATGTCAGGAAGCATTTCTTAAGTTAAAGCAGGCATTATCGACCGCGCCTCTTTCTTTTCCGAAGGGAGAAGGGAAAATGAATTTAATACATACTGATGCTTCAGGTTATGGGAGAAGCGGTGCTCTTTCAAGTTCAGAATGGCAATGAAAGAGTCATTGCCTATTATAGTCGAGTTTTGAGCAAATCAGAGCGAAATTATTGTATCACAAGAAGGGAGTTGTTAGCTGTAGTCAAATCAATTAAACATTTTCATCATTATTTGTATGAACGTTTTTCTATCCGTACTGATCACGCTTCGCTAAGATGGTGGGTAACCTTCAAAAACTTGGAGGGACAATTGGCTCGCTGGAAAAAATTACAGCAATATGATTTTGATGTCAGTCATTGAAAGAGGCTAACTCATGGAATGCCGATGGATTTTCGAGACACCTTTGTGTGAACGAAAATTATAGATTGCTCTAGAGTAGAAGTACGAGAGAGTTTAAAGGAAAATAAATTAGTGCCTCGAATAATTTTACGAGAAGATTCCTCTGAGGAGTGGCATAGGTTACAAATAGAGAATCAAGACACTAGCGACATTTTTACTAGCCAAAAAAAGGAATATTCGATCTTCATGGAAGAGATAGCAGTTAGAGGAATATCTTCAAAAATTTACTGGCATCAATGGGATGCTTTAGAAATATAGGACGGTGTTCTTCATAAGAGATGGGAGGCACCAAGCCTAAAATCTAGTTTTCTTCACTTAGTAATTTCGCATAGTAAGGTGAGACAAATTTTAGAGGAGGTTCATGATGCTTCTTCGGACGAACATTTTGGAGTTAATAAAACTTTGGGAAAGATTTGGAAGCGTTTTTATTGGGCCACCTGTAAACAGGATGTAGAAAATTGATGTAGAACTTGTAAGGTCTGTTTAGCAAAGAAAGGCTCTTCTGATAAAGGGAAATCTCCTTTGCAAATTTTTAATTTGGAGGTTCCTTTTGAAAGGGTTCAAATGGACATTCTCAGCCCGTTATCTATTTCTTCTTCGGGAAATAAATATCTTCTTGTGATTGTTAACTGTTTCACCAAATGGGTGGAGGCCTTCTCTCTGAAGAATATGAGAGCTATTACGATTGCGGAAATTTTTAATCAATTGTTAATCAGGTCATTTGTAGGCATGGAGTCTCGCTAGAACTTTATACCGATCAGGGAAGGAATTTCGAGTCCCAGCTTTTTCAAGAGTCGATGAGAATCCTGGGAATAAGGAAAATTAGAACAACTGCTCTTCATCCTCAATCTGATGGACAAATTGAGAGATAACATCAGACAATTCTTTAGTATTTATCGAAATACATTCATGAAAATCAAATTGGATTGGGATCGTTGAATTCCCATGTTTCTTCTTGCTTATAGAACTTCTAAACATAAGATTATCGGTGTAAATCCGTCAGAAATGTTATTACAGAAGAGATCTTAATTTACTTCTAGATTTACTTAGAGGTACTCCTTCTAATTATGGTTGTTTCGAGTCAGCGGAAGAGTATGCTCGGAATTTATGAGAGAAACTTGATGAAATTCATCAGGGAATCAGAGAGCGATTAGAATCGAGATCTCTAAGAGTCAAATATCGATATGGTCGAAGAGCTTGTTTTCGAAGAAGGGCAAAAGATTTGACTGTTCAATCCTTGTCGAAAGAAGGGAAGATCTCTCAAGTTACAGAACGATTGGAAGGGGCCTTATGAAATAGTTAAGAAATTAAGTGATGTCTTTTGTATTCATCGTTCAGGGAAGCAAGAAAATAAAATTGTCCATGCAGATAGATTAGCTTCTTTTATTGAGAGAAAGGATCCATAGAGAAGTTTAGGGAGTTTCGGAGCCCGGATATTTAGAGAATTATGAGTTTAACTATTTTTGAGTTTTTAAGATGTGTTCATTTTATTAGGAAGTTATTGTTTTCTATTTTCTTTTTCTTTCAAGTTTACTTCAAGTTGAGTTCAAGGATGTCATGGGAAATCCTCTTGTTTCGCCCGAACATCCGGCTGAAGAAATTCTTTTTCTTAAAAAATCTGCCTCGTCTTCGTTTTTTCGAGTCGTGGTTTTTCCGTGGGACTATATGGACGAATGCCGAGGCAGGGGCTCGGTGAGTCTTTTATAAAATGTTGAATTCACGACGAATACATCCATCTTGCTTGAAGAAAGAAGCGCACAAGTCTCAAGAATGAATTTCAAGAAAGAAGAAGGGACGGATCTTCGCGGCAAGTTCTTACAGAGCGGGAGATTGGGACCGGGAACGGCGCTCGGTAACTCGTAGCAACAGCTCGAGGAGAGCAGGAAGTCGTATGGTACCCTCCGCCAAAGAAGAGGAGGCTTTTTGAGCGGAGAAAATCCGAACAGTTGTCAGGACGACAACTAGAAGAGAAGGGGCGCAGTGTTACGATCGAGCGGTGTTTCGCACGTCGTTGCCTTCCGGAAAATCAATTCAAAGGATCGATATTTTAAAAACAAAGGATCGTTCCCTGACGACGTGTCGTTAATTTTTTTGTGTGGTCACGCGGATTTGTTGTTGTTGTTTTCTTTGAGTATATAGACATGGAGGCGAATATTGGCACCAAAAGTGTGTCCAAAGTACGAGAGAGAAAGATATATGAGTGATATTCATTCTTTCTGCGCATACGTCGAAATTGACAAATACTATAGGCAAGCAATATATATAGTGATATAGTGATGTGAAGGACAATAGGTAACAAGAACTGTCATAAATGATATTATATAGGGATATTATATAGGGATGTAATAGTAAAATATTAAATAAATATTAATATATACCATTATAACATAAGAAAATAATTTTTGTCAATGTTTAAAATGAATCAATTTTGTAAACTTATATCTAATATAATCTTTGTGTATTAAATCGGTAGCGCACTTAACCTCATGGAATTAACGCAAATTAACGTAAATTACAATTACGCTTTTAATAAGTTGTTTTTATGGTTATCAAACACATCTTGCTGCAAAATGTGTTCTGTCATTGCGCTGTCATTAAACACTGAATGACAAACATCGTTAAACACTTTTATAGTCACAATTGTCTTAATATTTTTTCTAATGCGAATTATATTATAATTTGATCAAATAACTGCTGCATTGTGTTATTTTTATGACATCATCAAAAAAAATTAAATTACCTTTGTTTTTGACAGTAATCAAAATTGAGTTAGTCGATTTTGCAGTGATTTTGCAAAAGTTGCACAAATGTGACATTCATGTCCTAATAATTTTCTTATAACAAATCCATTGATATATTTAAGTACGTCGTCGATATATGGACTGAGTGTTAATGTTGATACATAATTATGGTCAAATATATCAGCAGATAATTGTTTCTCATTTCAGTGAATAAGCTATTGCTTATGATTTTTACGCATGCGCAGAGACGACGAGTATCACTCGTATATCTTTCTCTCTCGCACATGCTTTGGACACACTTTCGGCTTATAGGAAATATAGGCATTCCTCCTCCATGTCTATATACTCAAAGGTTGTTTCGCGGAGTTTGGTAACGGACGGACGTGTGTCCGCGGCAATCGACTTTTTAATAAAGTTCCGATTCTTTGTAGAAAAGTGTTATTATTCCGCGCGCGGCTCATCCGCAAAACGGGACTCGCGATTCGTGACCGCCGCGAGCGCGACATATCAATACAATTCATTATTATGTTAAAATCTTGCTCCTGGTTGACTTCCATGTTTACAATTTAAATTTAAATATTACACTTGCTTCGCATCGTCCATTTGAAATGATGTAATAAAATCACACTGCGTGCATAAAACTTGTACACCGCAGCCACGGAAACACATTACACCGAGGCTACGTTCCGATATTCACTGCAAGTACTGAAAATCTACATGACCTGAACTATATATTTTCAGTATTGGCAATGAATATCGGAACGCAGCCCGGATAAGAGCCGTGGCATAAAAGAAACTTAAGGATCGGCAGAAATGACGGGCTGCCGCACACAAATTTCCGTAATCGTAAGACGTAAACTTAAGCCAATAGGCCAATCAAGATATTGCTTTAGGCCAATCAAGATATTGCTTTTTCTAAGTAATCTAATGGAAGTAGAAGTAATGATAAACTTATCCATAAGACAACTGGTTGAAATTTCTACGTAACCAATATGTATAGATAATTTGTATTAATGTTAGGCTCAAGCAAATAATAAGTGGCACATCTATAATGTATCTAACCAATGTTATATATAAAGTCAATAAAGAAACTAGTAGAAACCAGTGGATTTGACGAAATAAAGATTTATATAAAGATAAATAAGTCATATAAAGATAAAATGTAAGTTTGGTATTAATATATATTAATGTAGTAATATATAAATATATATTTTTATAATTAATTTATTTAAATATAAAAATTGTTATTACAGATTACTTAAAAGTGACGGATAAAATAAGTATATTATTCTGTAGGAAGATATTTAGGAATTCTATATTATTCTATAGGAAGATATTTAGGGGTTCATTAATCAATCTTATGTTGTATTCGTAAGTATTTTGAAACTCAGCAATTATATAAAATAAATTTATAGAATAAAATAAATATGAATACACGGAAGCTTGTTCCTTTTATGTCAATATCTCATTCTCATCATGTATATTGAATTATGAACTTTTTATTTTTTTATAATTGTAATTTATATTTGTTACTAATGAGTTAATATAAATATTACAAATAATAACACACTATTTTTATTTTATATATTCTATACATTTTTATTCTAGACATATTTATATTCTTTTTCTGTATCTCTAACTTTTTTATTAAGTTGTGTTCAACTTTTAAAGTTTATTTAAAATATTGATATATATATTGCATTAATAATGCATTTTGTTATAAAATATATTTAATTATTTGGTTAGTCTTTTATGGTTTATTATTGTATGTATTAATCTTTCAGCAATCTACAAATAAAAGAATGGAAGACGATCATATATATGGAAATAAATTCTCTTTATGCCAAGACGAAATTGTATTGGAGATAATGAATGTGAATAATGAAAATTCTGTAGGAGATTCTTTATTAACAGATTTAGTTAGAGGATATCCCTATGTATATAATAAATCACCGCCAAATTTTAAAGATTCTTTAATGAAAGAAAATTCATGGGAAGAAATAGCTAAAAATCATGATCTTGGTCACGTGAGTGACCAATAAGTTTTTAAATTAATTTAAATTAATTTAATTTTAAAATTTTAATTTTAAATGTTTTATCAATTTAATTGCAAGTTTTTTATTATATCAAGTATTCAATTAATATAAGTTTGATGTTTGTAATACTATTACTTGATACAGCTACTGAATGTCAAAATCGATGGATCAGATTAAGGGAAAGATTTTCTAAAGAAAGAAGAGAAATTGAAGCAGAATTAAAAAATGGAAGCGGAGTAGCTAATCGACAAGGTTTTATTTTATATGAAAGTATGAAAAAATTTTTGAATAGTCATGTGCAGCGAAGAAAATAAATTAAGGGTATTATTACATTTGTCGTACGATAAATTTTTTAAGCGTGTTGATTGGCTGCAGGATAGAGCAATTCCTCAGTCTTTAGATACTTTCTATCCTGCAGCTAATCAACATCAAGCTTAAAAAATTGTCGTACGACAGATGTAATAGTACCCTAAAAATTACAACTACAGTTTATAATTTTAATAATTTAAAATATAAACTTCTGTGTATTATTTAATTTATATTTAATTTGTTTTTTTATAGAACTGTTATAAATGTTTTGCAAAATAAAAAAAATAAAGAAAATAAAGAAAATATTTCTAGGATTTCATCGATTTTAATCAACATAACAGTCGATAATCCTATTGTTACTTCTAAAAATCACCAAACTTTTCGTCCAATTACACAACATTCGTATAGAGCCTATAGCTAAGATAAAATCGTCTGAAAATTTTGAAATGCTTAATGAAATAGAAACAAACGATGAAATACAATCGCAATATGAACCATTTGTATTTGAAACATCAGGAGAAACACCCGAAAGATGTTCTTCTGAATCTTCACGAGAGTTTTCGACTTCTACTCCACTTAAACATCATAATAGAGATGATAAAAATTAATTCCTAAAAGAAGAATCCAAAAGAAATCAGAATCGGACAATATTGAACAATCATTTTTATCATTGTCTGCTACAATTGCAGATAAAATATAAAATTCAAATATGCAAACAATTCCAAATAAAAATGAAAAAGATGCAGAAGGTAAATTTGCAGAACTAATACTTATAGAGTTAAGAAACATGTCAGAAAAAGAACGTAAGGAAAAGAAAAGAAAAATAATGGATATTTTGTGGAATTGTAATATAAGTAATTGTAAGTATATGTAATAAAAATGTTGAAAATTTTACTTTCTATTTATGTCATAAATGTCATACTTATTACTTATATTCATTTTATTTTTTACTTTCTATTTATGTTATAAGATGTTACACTTATTACTTATAATCATAAATAAATATATAAAGCGAGTATTTTATATAAAAGTATTATTTTTTAATTACATGTACAAAGTTTAATTCAATGTATAGTTAACAAATTTAGATTTTATACAGAAATAATTTTAATCATCTTATGAAACACTTATTCTTTGTTCCTATCAATAATAAATCAACTTCGATAGTAATTAAGTGAATTCCTATTTAATTATTATCGCTTAGTTATTGTATAATTATTCTCGCGAGATTTATAAATAAATATGGAGTTTTGCGTACAACATTATTATGAGATAATGCTTACAACGTTATAACTTATTCTTCAAATTAACTATGCACAAAAAAAACTAAATTAGAATAAAGAGCGACGTTAATAATACATAATCACTTGTCAGTCATGTCTACATAAAAGTATCATTTAAGACATTAAAAGGGGTGGGTATTGAGTGGACACATTCCGATGACTACTCACAGCGCTTGAATAATAGTGTTACGTTGTGACGACTGCAAGATTCTTTTCCTTCGGGTATATCTTGGGTACATATATTTCGGGTCTATCAGTTATTAGAATTTATTATATTAATTAAATTTAATATATTAATTAAGCGGATAAACGGATGACACATGTTTTGTTAGATCGTGACGATTACGCAATTGATCTCTTCCGGGGATCGGTTATTAGAATTCGGCTAAGCGGATAATCCCTAATCCTAATCGCGGAAGAACAACATGTGTACAGATGTTTTCCTTCAACAAAATCACACACACACACACACACACA